CAGAAGAGAGCATCTGATCCCTGGAAACTGGAGTTACAGATAGTTGTTAGCTGCCATGTGGGGTGCTGGGGAACCAAACCCACATCCCCTGCAAAAGCAGCCAGTGGTGTTAACCTCTAAGCCATCTCACCAGTCCCCAGTGCTGGATTTTTTAAATGGCTTGGTCTTACACAGATATTGTATAGGTAACCACAGCAGCCGTGAGCTCCTCTGTGAAACAGTCATACCATGTCCAGAGGACAGCATTTCACATCACTCCTTCCCATCCTCTGGTTCTTACATTATTTCCATCCCCTCTTCCAGAGTATTACATGAGCCTTGGGGCCAGTGTTGTTACAGATGTCCCATCTGCAGCTGAATACTAACAGTCTCTTATTTTCAGCTCTTTGAGCAGTAATCCATCTCTAATTAATCACTATCTACTACAATAAGAAGCTTCTCTGACCAAGGTTGAGAGGAACACAAATTGATAAACACAAATATTTAGAAGGCGGATTGACAACATAACCATTTAAAAAAACAACAATAGTTGTCTCCTAGGGTCTATGACTTCCCAGCCATGGGTTTTGACCAAGTTTACAGTATCAGGCATGAATTCCCACCTATGGAGCAGGCCTTAAGTCCAATCAAAAAAAGGAGTTGGTTACCCCTGTAGATAGTCTTGACACTATTACACTAATGGGTGCATTTGCTTGCCATATCCGTATTGTAGTATATACAGTCCAGTGATAAGACCATTGATGTCTTTTCTCTCCCAGTAGCCTGCATTAACATCTTCCAGCACTATGCAATTACCTAGCAGAGAAAGTTTCCTGGTTAGTTCAAGACTGATTTCTCTGTGTATTTCAACCAGAGCGTGTGGTGCCTTCAGCAATAGGATCTTATCATCTACTTGTGGTGGGCAACCAAGATCCATGGCAATAGTCTGTATTGCTTTGGGTTCCTTTGAGGCCTCTCTGATCAGTAATTCATAAGGAATCAACCCATGCCTAACACTGAGATTTTAATTTAATAGCCCATGTCTTCTGGGAGCAGCACTGTTCATTAATGTAGAGTACTTCTGTTCAAAGTCCTTTTAAGAGAATTATATTTTAATTAACCTATAAGCTAGTGGGCTTTCATAAGACTTTTTCATACATGTTTAGTCTTCTCAAACCACCCCTTACCCTGTTTTCTTGCATCCCTGTCCCCATCTTTAGCTCCCAGCATCCTCTCCTGTTCATATTTCATGTGTTCTAATGTCCACTCTTACATTCCTTTACTTGTTTTATATGATGATAAGTTCCCAAGTAGCTTCTTCATGCACATTTTATTTTTTAAAGGCTTACCCTACACTTAATTTTGCTTGAGCTGTCCCCTGGCCCTTTGTTTCCCCTCCTCATCTCTCCACTGCCTGCTTGAACCCCTGTTCCCAGAATTCCCCCTCTCTACTTTCATTTCGCCTATATCTATTATGCCCTTTTCCTGAATGCATCTCCCACCAATGGCCTGTTTCTAGTTTCCTAGCGTCTATGTATATTCCACGTTAAACACACAAAACAAACTATTGAATCTAGGACTCTCATATAAAAGCGACAATGCAGGGTCTGGGGGCCTGAGTTACCTCACTCAGTATAATTTTTTCAGTTCCATTCATTTACCTGTAAAGTTCATGACTTCATTTTTCTTTATAGCTAATATTCCATTGTGTACATGTACCAATTTTCACTATAAATTCATCATTTGATGACTATCTAGGTTGATTAACAATAAACTTCAAAAGAGCAGAGACCATTTATGCATATATCATTTCATTTTACATTGAATTTTATATACTGCAAATTCATTGTAACAGTTATGATTTTATTCTGCAGATAAATGACATTTCAACTGTTAGATGTAGCTGGGGAGTGTCTGTCTACTCAGCCTGTCAGTTTTATTTATTTTAGTGTATGAGTGTTTGTAGGCACAATGTGCATGCAATGCCTGTGGAGCTCAAAAGAGGGTCCTATCCTCTGAAACTGGAATTATGGATAGTTGTTAGCTGCCATTTGGGTGCTAGGAACTGAACCAAGGTCCTCTGCAAGAGCAACCAATGCTATTAACCATCTCCCTAGCCCCAAACTATTTTCTAAATATCTGTTTATAGCCAGAGATAAATGCTTCTCTCATTCCTAATGTGAGAAGCCTCTCTTTGCAATGATTGGCAGAAAATGCAGAGACTTACTCAAGGTGCTGAAAATAAGTGACAGGTAAGTATTCAGTCCTAAGCAAGACATAACCTCCTCTAAAGCTTAGGGAAAGCTACAAGGCAGGAAGAATGTGAGAGTTGGAATATAGGGAGAAATGCTGAGAAATGCCGAGCTCTGGGCAGAGCACAGACATTGCAATCTTGGAACCCATAGCCTCTGTGGTTACCTGCACCAGGCTTGCACAGTACTCGTCCTGTCGACAGTTATCAGTTCATGAGGCCTTACCCTGCTGTGGAACTGTTGGTTACTGAAAGGTTCTGAGAGAAGAGAAGTCAGTGTCCTCAGTATGTATTTATTGGCAAGTCCATCACATTGTAATGGAATAGTTCCAAATACATGGTCACATAGATAGCCCTGGTTAAACTTGGTGGTCACAAAACCAAATAAAAAGACATGAACTTGGGAAAGGAATTTGTAGGAAGGCAGGAGTTGATGGGGGGTGAGAGATGAGAGCAATTAGAATGTATTTTATACATAAATGAAAATGTTAAAGAACAAATTTAACTAATAAAAAGCAACCCAAGAATTCCTTCTGAACCGTGGTTCTCTCTTCAGGTAATTATTCAATGGAGATATTATATACATGGTAAAGAAACGAGGAAAATGGTCTCTGCTTCGCTAGCAAATGGCATGACAATAGTAATGAACATAAAATGTCTAAAGTCACTTCCTTTTCTGTCCATTGATGGAGTATTACTTAAAAAATGTCATTGTGTGGCAACATATGGGCAATGTGCACAATTTGTAAGCCAGAATCCAAGGTGACAGAACATTACTTGATTTTTTTTTTATACCAGAATTTTCTCCCTGGTAAGAGTTACTTTTCTCTAAATGATGAGAACTTAATCTCAATCATGTTTTATCCCTTCACCTAAGATTATACCAAAGCTCTGAAGGGAGCTAATGAAAATTCCAAGGCACTGAATGGGGTGGAGGTAGTTGGTGAAATGGTGGCTAGGGGTAGTTTGTTCCCATAATTAAAAAAAGACATGCCCATACAAATACAAGAAGCATATAGAACACCAAATAGACAGGACCAGAAAAGAAACTCTGCACGGCACATCATAGTAAAAACACTAAAAGTACAGAACAAAGAGAGAATGCTGAAAGCTGCAAAAGAAAAACAACAAATCATCAGAATTGCAGCTGACTTTTCAGTGCAAACTATGAAAGCAAGAAGAGCCTGGACCAAAGTATTCCCAGTTATAAATGACCACAAATGCCAGCCAAAATTTCTATTATAGTCAAAGGGGAAAGAAAAATCTTCCATGACATAAATAGGCTGAAAGAATTCAGGTCCACAAAATCAGCCTTTCAGAGAGTTCTTGAAGCAATACAAAGAGCTGAAGAAAGGAACAACTATACACAAGGGGTTATGGAAAGAAACTCAATGAAGGTGTAACTGTGGAAATGCACAGCTATACGAAGAATGTGAACAACAATAAAAATGACAGGAATCAATACACATTTTTCATTAATAACTTCAAATATCAATGGACTGAACTCCCTAGTCAAAAGACACAGACGAGTTGAATAGATTAAGAAACAAAACCCTTCTTTTTGTTGTCTGCAAGAAACTCATCTCACTTTCAAGAACAGGCACTACCTTAAGATGAAAGGATGGAAAAAAGTAAACCAAGTGAATGGTACTAAGAAAAAAGCAGGCGTTGCAATTCTAATATCTGATAAAATAGACTTTAAACTTAAACAAATCAAAAGAGATAAAGAGGGCCACTTCATTCTGATCAAAGGAACAATTTACCAAGAAGATATTACAATCATGAATATATATTCACCAAACTCTGGTGTACCCAACTTCATAAAAATAGTATTACATGACTTAAGAAATCCTATCTTATTAATAGTAGGGGACTTCAATACCCCATTGTCTCCATTAGCTAGGTCAATAGGACAGAAAATTAACAGAGAGACATCTGAATTAAACAATACCATCCATCAAATGGGCCTAACAGACATCTACCGAATATTCCACCCAAGCACCAAAGAATATACTTTCTATTCAGCACTCCATGAAACTTTCTCCAAAATTGGCCATATACTGGGGCTCAAAACAAGCCTCAACAAATAAAAGAAGATTGAGAAAATTCCATGCATTCCATCAGACCACAATGCAATAAAGCTTAAAATCAACATCGGAAGAAGCCCTAGTAACTACATGAACACATGGAGGTTAAAGAACACACTTCTGAATGATGAATGGATCAAAGGAGAAATAATAAAGAAATAAAAGTATTCCTGGAACTAAATGAAAAGGACAATACAACACAACAAAACCTCTGGGACACGTTGAGAGCAGTCCTTAGAGGGAAATTTTTAGCTCTAAGTGCCTACATCAAAAATCAGGAAGAACACAAATAAATGACTTAACATTGCAACTCAAGACACTTGAAAAGCAACAACAAATGAAACCCAAACCCAGCAGACAAGAAGAAATAACAAAAATTAGAGCAGAAATTATTGAACTAGAAACAAAAAAAGCAATACAAAGAATCAAAGAATCCAACAGCTGGTTCTTTGAAAAGATAAATAAGACTGACAGACCCTTAGCCCAGTTAACCAAAAGAAAGAAAGAGCACCTCCAAATTAAAAAAAAAAAAAGAGAGAGATAAAAGGGGAAACATCACAACAGACACAAGAAATATCCAGAACATTATAAGGGAATACTTTAAAAATCTATATGGGGGCGGCGTTGCGTCTGAGCTCATGTGCCACGGTGTTGGCAGTGTCTGCATCAAAGCATTTCCCACGATGTCTCACGCCATTTTGATGGTACAGCCTACCAAGAAGCCAGAAGGCAGAACTTATGCAGACTATGAATCTGTGAATGAATGCATGGAAGTTACAGAGCTGATACCCAGACATACTAGCCTTACAACAAAGACTGGATCAAAGAGAAGATCTACGTGCTCCTTCGTGGGCAGACCCAAAAGGCTGGGAAATAATTGTGTTGGAAGCATTAGGGGCTGGGGGTGGGCTTGGAACAGGTGTGTACAGCGTGCTGTAGTGAAAGTTCTGTATTATAGTAATCCTGTCTCCATTTTGTTACACTCTAGCCAAGACTGAATGTGTCACAGGAAACATGGGGGAGCTTTTCAATCTGAAACCTCCATTGCCCCTTTGGTCTTTTTCTTTCTCTCTTTTTTTACTTAAACATTTTTATGATGATTTAGATAGAAATTGTTCTTTGTCAGTTAAAATTGGTTCTGGTCCTTGAAACTGTTCATATCTGCTTTACTACATCCACAGTACTAGCCCTTCAAGGTGGGGTGTGGGGGGGTGGTGACTCAGTTTTGTTATGTCCTCTGGGTAAAGTCTAGTGAAGAATAAATAAATGTTCTTTAGTTTAAAAAAATCTATATGCTACTAAATGTGAAAATCTAAAAGAAATGGATAGGTATCTAAAAGCATGGGAACCATAGAAACTAAACCAAGAAGAGATTAACAGCTTAAACAGACCCACAACACATAAGGAAATTGAAAAAGTAATACAAAATCTCCTGACTAAAAAAAGCCCAGGACCAGATAGATTTAAAGCAGAATTCTACCAGACATTTAAAGATCTATATCCAATACTACTTAATTTATACAAAAAGATAGAAATGGAGGGAGAACTTCCAAATTCCTTCTATGAAGCCAGCATCACTCTCATACCAAAGCCAGGTAAAGATACAACAAAAAAGAGAACTATAGACCTATATCTTTAATGAACATAGATACAAAAATTCTCAATAAAGTACATGCAAATCGCATATAGACAAACATCAAAAAGATCATCCACCATGATCAAGTCAGGTTTATTCCAGAGTTGCAGGGATGGTTCAATATACATAAGTCAATAAACATCATAAATCATATAAATGGACTCAAAGGCAAGAACCACATGGTCATCTCAATAGATGCAGAGAAGGCCTTTGACAAAATTCAACATGCATTTATGTTCAAAGTCCTAGAGGGAATTGGACTGGAGGGAACATACCTCAACATAATTAAAGCCATATATAACAAACCCATAGCCAACATCATTTAAATGGAGAAAAACTGGAAGCATTCCCATTGAAATCAGGAACCAGACAAGGCTGTCCCCTATGTCCATTCCTTTTTAACATAGTGCTTGAAACTCTTATAAGAGCAGTAAGATAAGAGAAGGAAATTAAAGGAATAATAATTGGAAAAGAAGAGATCAAATTATCCCCTTTTGCAGATGATATAATATTATATCTAAGAGATGCCAAGAATTCTACCAGAAAACTCATAGAAATAATTGATACTTTCAGTAACATGGCAGGTTACAAAATTAATCTACAAAATTCTGTAGCCTTTCTATATACCAATAACAAGCAATCAGTGAAAGAGTACATGGAAACACTCCCCTTCACAATAGCTGCAAAAAAAAAAATTCAGAATAAACATGACCAAATTAATCTACAAAATTCTGTAGCCTTTCTATATACCAATAACAAGCAATCAGTGAAGGAGTACATGGAAACACTCCCCTTCACAATAGCTGCAAAAAAAAAAAATTCAGAATAAACATGACCAAAGACGTTAAAGAGCTCTACAATGAAAATTTTAAATCTTTAAAGAAAGAGATTGAGGAAGACATCAGAAGATGGAAGGAACTCCCATGCTCATGGATTGGAAGAATTAATATTGTAAAAATGAACATCCTACCAAAAGCCATTTGTAGAGTCAATGCAATGCCAATCAAAATCCCCATTGATCCTCTTCACAGAATTTGAAAATAAATCCTAAGATTCATATGGAAGCACAAAAGACTTCAGATAGCCAAAACAACCCTGAGCACTAAGAGCAATGCTGGGGTGATTACTATACCAGATTTTAAACTATAGTCATAAAAACAACTATAGTCATAAAAACAACATGGTACTGGCACAAAAATAGACCCAGAGGTCAATGGAACAAAATTGAAAACCCAAATATGAGTTAATGCGATTTTAGCCACCTGATATTTTACAAAGGGGCCAGGAACATTCACTGGAGGAAAGAGAGCATGTTCAGCAAATGGTGCTGGCAAAACTGGATCTCCACCTATAGAAGAATGAAATTAAACCCCTGTCTTTCACCTTGTACAAAAGTCAACTCCAAATGGATCAAAGACCTCAGTGTAAAGTCTAAAACTCTGAAACTGTTAGAAGAAAACATTGGCCATAACCTACAAGGTATAGGTGTAGGAAAGGATTTTCTAAACTGGACATCAACTGTCCAGGAAACAAGGTCAAGAATCAACAAATGGGATCTCAGTAAACCAAAAAGCTTGCGGACATCAAAAGAAGTAACCAAGGACGTGAAGAAAAAACTCCCAGAATGGGAGAAAATCTTCACCAGCAACATGTCCGACAGAGGTTTAACATCCAGAATATATAACAAACTCAAAAAACAAAGACTCAAAAAAGGAAGTAACCCAATTAAAAGATGGGCTAAGAAACTGAACAGAGAGTTCTCAAAAGAGGAAATAAAGATGGCTAAGAAGTATCTTAAAAGGTATTCAATACCATTAGTCATTAGGGAAATGTAAATTAAAACCATATTAATATTTCATCTTACCCCAGTCAGACTGGCTAAGATCAAGAGAACAAATGATACCAAATATTGGAGAGGATGTGGGAAAAGGGGAATGCTCATTCATTGCTGGTGGGATTGCACTTGTTCAACTCCTATCAAAAGCAGTGTGGAGAACTCTTAAAAAACTACAAATGAATCTACCATTTGACCCAGTTATACCCCACTCTTTGGCATATACCCAAAGAACTCATCCTATTGCAGAGACACTGGTACATTCATGTTTGTTGCTGCTCTTTTCATAATAGCTAAGAGATGGAAGCAACCTAAGTGTCCCTCATCTGATGAGTGGATAATGAAAATGTGATTCATTTATACTATGGAGTTTTACTCAGCAGTAAAGAAAGATCAAATTATTAAATTTGCATTTAAATGTATGGAACTAGAAACTGTTATGAAGTAACAGAGACTCAGAAAAAACAAATGATGCATGTTCTCCCTTCTATGTGGAACCTAGCGCCAAATCCTTATAAGTGAATATGTATCCAAACATCACTACAGGAACCAGAATAATGAAAAGGAACTGGGAAGGTAAAAGAAAAGGAAGAGCCTGAAAAAGAAGAACAGTAGGAAACATGTTAATAAGGGAGATATGGATTAAAATGAGGTTATTTTTAGGGAAGGGGAAGGGAGGTTTATACAAAGAACCTTGGGGATAAAGGGAAAGAAGGAGCTCAAGAAAGGTGGGCCCATAGGAGAAGGCCATTTTTAAGTGAGAAATGGGAACAATGGGGGCACTTTAAATGGGGAAACCATGGTGGAAGGGTTGGACAATGAGAGAGATAAATAATGCCTAGCTAGCTTAAAAAAAAACAGAGAGAACCATATTAGGTCAACAATCTACTGACAAATTGTACATAGAACTAGCTCAAGGAACATAATATATATCTAGTCAAGGTTTATATGAGAACATTTGGTCTTTGCCTAAGTTTTATCTACATAGCACATGTAATTAAAAGTACCAGACTGGCCGGGCATGGTGGCTGGGGCTACAGGGAGACCTTGTCTCAAAAAAACCTCCCCCCCACAAAAAAAGTACCAGACTGGTGGAGCTAACTTTCTTGGATGTTTAAGGCTATACTTTGAGGCCTGTACTAATTTGCTCAGAGGGACTTAAAGGACAGTTTTTGCTTCTTGCCCCTCAAGGCTGATTAAGTTCCAGGGGACTATGAGCATCTCTGAAAATGTCCTTTAACTGTGGTGAGTCACTGTCCTCTTGACCAAGGAGCCATGGAGACCCCACCAAATGTACTTGAACCAGTGTCCAGTCTACAAAGAGGAGGGTGAACACAGAGGAAACATTTCCTCCATGCTTCCAAGTGAAGCCAGCCGCAGTTGAGTGAGCAGGAAGGACCTTTGACTGATCTTCACATAGATGGAAGCCACAGTTGAGTGAGCAGGAAGGACCTTTGAGTGATCTTCACATAGATGGAACTGGTGAAATAAAGGAGCCAGGAGCTCCTCCCAAGCCCATGTGACCCCTGAGGTCCTTAAACGACCTTAAGAGTAAAATTAAATTGGTTTATCTGGGACAACTACATGGTCTTAAACACCAAAAAGGAAAGTATAACCAAAGATTAAAGGGATCAATATAATTCTTTAAGAGTCCATGTGTATAGCTAAAAGCTGCATAACAGGAAACAATGCCAGACAGGAGATACCATCTTTGAGTTGTTGGCCAGAGTGACCCAAGAGACTCTCAGACAATAACTCAGCATAAAACTTGGAAAATGAACAGCAGACCCTAATCTTATTTAAAGGAATATTGACAACTGATTGATGCTAGATGAGGAAGAGCTGATCTTCCTAAAACGAGGAACTCTAGATAGGGTGACTAGACTCAGCATATAGACATGCACTGGAGAATGGCTGGGAGCACTGACAATGGGGGCACTGACAACACAGTGGACAGTAACAGGGATGACAGAGTATATGAGCTTTGGGAGGGTGCCACTTGGGATGTGGTTATATAGAGGAATAAGATTTTGGGGGATGTTCTGGATGGAATGCAAACAAAAAATTGATAAATACATACACAATAAATAAATAAATAATAAATAAATAAATAAAAGTTACATTTGTGGAAGAACCATAAAAATTTGCTTCATGTTAATTAGTAGATGTGAAAAACATTACCATTGAAATCTACTTGATGATTTTATATCCATGCTCAGGTGCCAAGGATCTCAGAAAGTAACTGGCTGTCACTAATAATAATCAGATATATGGAGATTAGAGATGCATGTGCAAACATCTAAGTGTTAATTGCATTAAAAATGAGTTTTTCTGCTGGGTGTAGTGGCTCACGCCTTTAATCCCAGCACTTGGGAGGCAGAGGCAGGTGGATTTCTGTGAGTTCAAGGCCAGCCTGGTCTACATAGTGAGTTCCAGGACAGCTGGGGCTACAGGGAGACCCTGTCTCAAAAAGACCAAAAAAGAAAAAGAATTTTTCTGTATGAAACGGTATGTTTTAAAATAAAACAGAGATTTTTTTTAAAGGTTAAAACCTCATTCAATTTTATGTCTTATAGGGCTTATACTGAGTACAATATTGGATAACTGTATTAATTCAACTGTAAACCTAAAAATTATAGCCAATTTTGAAAGAGATGCATCTTAGCTCTGCAAACACTCATTGAATATGTCAATGCTGTTGTAATGAAATGCTTCTTCTAATTATGTGGTTATTAAATAAATAATTTTTAAAAGTACAATGTTTAAAGAACAGAACTGCTGTTATGGGGAAAGGAACGGTTGAGGACATGGGGGATGCAGATCAAAGGGTAAAACATTGCAGCTGTGTAGCATGAACAAGTCTGGTAATGTAATGTATATTATGAGATCTACAGCCAATACTGTTGTACTCTGTGCAGTGAATTTGTCCCTATCATAAAGCAAGTGAGGAAGATGACTAAGAGATGGGCTGATAAGTTAATTTTCTTGACTGAGTAATCATTTCTTTCTACTTAGTTGTGCCAGAACATCTTTCTGTATATCCTGACTAGAAAGCACACAGGTCTACAACCTATCCTGATGGGAAAACTTTGTAGATGTCTGGAGAAGGAAGTTAAAACCCAGATAGAATAGGTCCTCTGAAATTCTTGAAAGATTATTCTATTAAATCTTCCGAGAAGGAGATAGTGTCTGGGGGAAAACCATCCTTAGGGACAAAAACGTCTGATTCTGAGATGGTGGGTAGAAATTCCAGGGTGGGAGCTCTGTCAGGAGAGGAGAGGGCAGAACTGGAGGTTTGAAAAGGGACCTCTGGGAAGAAGCGTTCACTGCACTGCTGCTGTACTTTGGTCTATAAACAAAGTCAAGTCTACTGAACTGTCATAATGACTTATCTCAGGCAGTAAGTCTTAGTTTGGTCTGCCTTTTATTCCCCTGAACATCTCAGTTAAGGCTCAGTCACACAACTTTGTGTTGTGAGGGTGAAACCCTGGTCTGGGAAGGAAAATGAAGCATGCCTATTGAAGTTGATTCTTAGTTTGCCATCTAGAAAGCCTGTCTTCCTAACAATAAATTAATTAGCCTTTTTAATGTAAATGTTCTACTTTTCTAAAGTTCATACGGGGAACACATTGGGAGAAACAGAGAGACCTTTTTTGTTTGTTTGGAAACAGGAGCTTGTTCATTTTGACTTAGTGAGAAACCATTTATTCTTCTGATTTATAATCATAATATACATATTCTTGTTAATACATCAAATGTGTAATGTAGGAGTTCCCTTAAGAATTCTAAGCCCACATGTTAGACTCTGTTATACACTATATTAGGATATTAGACAAACATCACTTTTAATAGCACAACAAATACATAAGTACATAAATTTTTTTTCCATTAATGGAGGAACATGCTTTTCAAAAAATATTTTATTGGATGAAACTTTCTTATTTTCAGGAAAACGTTTGGTTCTTTAATATAATTATTATGCCTTTTAAAATTCTGTTTGATAAAAGCGTTGGTACATTATAAATACCTATAAAGAAAATATAGCTTAAAATTCTGAAGGAAATATTATATAATTTTCCTTTTTAACATTTTCACAAAAATCCACACAAGCACTAAGAAAAACTGACAAAAATACTTTATGTCTAAACAATATACTCCAGGTTGGAAACATTCGGCATGATATTATCTAAATATTAAAGCTTCTCTAGAGTGAACCTTTGGCTATAACCTATGAGTTGGTTGGGGTTCTTACAGGGAAAAGACAGCATTAGAAAGGGCTAAAGGAAACTCTGTATATTTAGAACAAGATAAGGACTAGGAGAGGAGGAGGTTGACCTTCAAGTCCTTCACTTTTTATCACTCATTAATTGGACTCTCTAGGCCTTAGTTTTTTTATTTAGTTGAAATTTAATATAATAACTTTTCAGTTTTAATACTTTGTAATGTGCTACATTTTTTGTTTGGTTTGTTTTGGTTTTTTGAAACAGGGTCTCACTACGCAGCCTTGACTGGCCTGGAACTCACTATGTAGAATAGGCTGGCCCTTGAATTTACAGAGATCTACTTGCCTCTGTTGAGGGCTGGAATGAAAGGTGTGCACCACCATGCCCAGCTAATGCACTATAATCTAGAAAATTCTATTTAACATCTTATATCAAGCAACATATAAAACCTTCAAGGACCGATAGAGAGATACTGCAAGTGTTCTAAGAGAGCATCTGCTAAGCGGTGTAGCTCTGGAGAGAGCCTCATTCTGCACAAATTCAAGTGGTAGAACTGGAAGTGAACATCTGTCTTACCAGCCTCACTTCAAGCAAAAGCAAATTAGCTGTCTTTCTGATTTAGTTCAGTGTTGGGGGTGGCTTATAGTGCTCAAACTTTGTGGAGGTTTTACAATCAGCAGCTCAGTTGGGGACTACTAGCACTGTATTTTGAGAGGAGGAAGTAGGAGATGGCAGTTAATGAATAGTAGAAATGAACATCCAGGTGAGATAAGATTAAAGGAATATGTTAAACAAGATTTCAGACATATTTTCAGAGTCCAAAGTACTCTTTTTGCTTATAAATGCAACAAATTAACTAGATCATAGCAAACTCAATTATTAATGACAAACTCTGCTTGGAAGTAATTGAGAATATTCTTTTTCCTAATGCATTTACACTTAGTACACATTCATTTAGTGCAGAGTGGGTAAAATCGCATGCTTAAGAAGACAAATATCATTTGTTTTCTCTTATATGTGGCACCTAGGTGAAACAAAAATGCATGACATTAGAAGAGAGACCAGTTGTGACAAGAAAGAGGACAAGCCGGGAGTGAAGAGAGGCTAATGGGGGACATGTTTGATCTAAATACATCATATATACATGTATGAGAATGTCATGATGAAACCTTATTTCCTACAATTAACATATGATAATAAAACAGGGAAATGCCTATCAGATTCTGAGAAGAAATTAAAAGGGTGGTCAGTGTAAGGGAGGCCTGGACTTCAGATCTAAATGGGCCAGTGCTACTCAGCTGCAGTCAGCCCTTGTCAAAGGGAAGATGGTTCTGAGAAACAGGCTTTATGGGAAATATCAAATGTTTAATAATCCTTCACATTTTTAAAACATTCTTCATAACTCTAAGAAGATCAAATGAGGCAGTTGGACTGCCCGTCTATGTCTTCTGGTTTGAAACATGTGAGCAAGGAAGAATTTGGATACTATTCTCTGTAAGATTGGAGAAGACCCTGCAGGGTCCAGGAATGAATGCTTACTTCCAAAGAGCCAGAAGAACCTATCCTAAGGATCACAACTTTAAAAAACCCTATCATTGGTTCTCCCCTTTACTAGCATTTTACCTATGATTATATTGGTTCTCCATATTGAGTAACTGCCTATTATTAAACAAATTAATGACTAGAAATTTGCCAAGCCCCAAGCATAGGTTTGCTCTGAGAAAATGGTATAAATTGGTTCTTTCAATACTTAGGTTTTCGCTCAGAAAGATGTACAAGGCAGAAGGGAAAACAGAAGACCAGGTGATACAATGCGAGTCATGGCCACCTGTAGATCAAAAGAGACCTCTATGTGGCACACCAAGCAAGAGGACTGTTCTAGAACATTCTAAATAATGCAAATTTCAAGGTACATTTCTAGATCTAAGTAATATAGTTTATTTTCCCCCTAAAATGGTCAGATTATCAGTTCCAGAATGAGCAACATTTGGGGTAGAAAGGCCTGGGGTATTGGCCTAATTTTGAACTTATTCATTAGAAACTTTCTGAATGCTTCCTTGTCATCAACATTCAAAAAGCCCCGTGGCCACAATAGGGAACAAGATGTAAATGCAATTTTCCCTCCCTCATCTTTTCAGATTACTTTTTTCAAAGTAATGCAGCTCTCAGGTTTTCCCCTTGTGAGTTACAGTGTGGGCAGACTCAGGGAAGACATTTTAATGGATCATGTGGCTGTATGTCAACTGTGACTTCAGAAAGAAATTGCTTCACTTGCACAGGGAGGGAAGACGTGTTTTTAAAACACTGTGATCAATTCTTCAAGTTGTCTTTCCTAGTAGAGCTCTTCCCTTTCGAATATATAGCTTAAGGAGAAAAAAGTATAATTAGTAGGAAGGAAATTACAAGCATAGGGATTAATAACAAAACAACCACTCCAGACATGGGAAAATCTAAGGAAAGGAGGATGCATGAATATTTCCAACTTGGGACCACACACTTCATTTAATTTTCCTCATTCAGAATGTCCACTAGAGCTTGGAGCAGCCGGTCATCTCTGTGTTTATAAGGTTTTGTGTTATAGAAAACATCAACATAGTCGCTATACAGATTGTCTTCAGAGTCCTTAAGTTGGGAGGGTTTGTTCAGTTTTTCCAGTGCTTCATAGAAATTTTCATAAGGGATGTTGAGCTTTGCACTTGGAGACTTCTTTGGTGATTGCTTTGGAGGTGAGTTTTTGCTAAAAGCACTTTGCAGGAGTCGCAGCATGGCCTCTGAAGGTGCCCCTCCTGCCAGCTCATCTCTTCTGCTCCCCATACCGCTGCTGCTGGGGCTTTTGGACACCAGTAGATTGTCGTTCAGCTTCTGTGTGGGTTGCTCCTAAAACACAGAATGCCACCAACAAAGGGGAAATCTCATTATTTGCAGCTAGGCAAGCTAGCTGCAGTCCTAACACAAGCCCACTACAGGCCCCTTGAGAGGCAATTTGGACACGTACAAGGCTTGGAGTTATATGGGGGTTGTGTTTCAACTTCTTTTTCCCACTTACTGATTTGCCTTTGACAGCCTTTTTGATCTTCCTGTATTTCAGCTATAAAATAGGAAACAGAACATTGCCTTTTCTAACAGTTTTTGAAGACTAAGACTATGCAAGTGTGTATTCAGTATGCTGTTTTCCTTCACTTGCTTGCCTGCTAGAGGGGAATCCATTTGGGGAAATGATATTAAATATTTAACAGCTCATTTCTAAGATCATTGGTTGTTGTATGTAGGAGCAGCTTCTTAGAGGGCTCTTGTTCTTGTCAGAAGTTACTGAATTATAAGACGGTCCTAGGGGAGAGACATAGTGGGCCAAGAACTGGGGAGATCTGAGAAGTGGCTCATTGTCAACCATTATGGAAGCACAATTTTTCTAGGACCTTCCATAATACCAAAATCTGTGGATGTTCAACTCATTTTTGATTTTTGTAGAATGGAAAGTATTTTTATATGACCCATACACCCTCCAGTATACATTGTCACCTGTAGATTACTTGTAATGCCTAACACAACATAAATGTTATGTAGATACTGCATTATTTAAGGGAATGGAGACAGGAAAGTGAACGTCTTTACTTGTTTATTACAGAGGCAATTTTTTAAAAATCCAGGGCTGGAGAGGTGGCTCAGTGGTTAAGAGCACTGGCTGCTCTTGCAGAGGACCCAGGTTCGGTTCCCAGCATCTGCATGGCAGCTAGCATGTGTCTATAACTCCAGTTCTAGGGTCTTCTGACCTCCGCAGACACTGCACAACATGGGTGCAATTATAGACATGTAGGCAATATACTCATACACATCAAATTAAAAGAAAAAAAAGAGAATGCAGAATCCAGAGATATGAAAGGCAACCATATTTCAGTATTTAATAAGAAAAGTCCTGTTAATAACTCTAAGGTTACCTCAAAAGGAGAAACACTCACATTGTGAATTTGCACTAGGCACTGTGAAGATGCCTCTGGCTGCAGTCCTGGAGGGAAGCTGCCCAATAGAATATAAATGGGGCCAGAATCCTGGCTGGGGCCTTCTCACAGCTACTTTATAAGTTTGTCAAGTAAATACTGTGTCTCTAAATCTTCTAAAACATCCAGGATAGAGACAGACCTATTCAGGATAGAGCCTTCCAGAAATCTTGAAAACCTTCCTATATCTGAGGCACTGTTAGATGCTGGTAGTATGGGGAGGCAGATGTGGTTTCTTCATAGTAACTGAAAAAGGGAACGCCAGCAACTCCTATACCAGGAGTATGAACAGCTTACTTTACCTATCTTTTGAAGTTTTCTGGAGAAGTTGTAATGCCAAGGCATGTCAGTTAAGTTTCCATTGCTTCACAGAGATTAGTAGAGAGAAACCTACAATGGCTTGGCTGCCTAAACTTAATTTCCTTTCTTGTAATGTCTGTTCTTTCTAGGTTACAAAGATTACAGTTAAAATGAGACAACATAGAACGTGCTTAAAATCCAATTGTACTATAATACAATACCATCCAATATATTATAATAGGTATACATGACTATGTAAAAAACAGCTTTACTTATAAGTTGTCATAAATGGAAAAATTCATGTTATGGAATTTAATAATTTTGAGATCATCAATTTTAACTATAAATTTTAGGTTAAAGAACAAAAGAAAAAAGTTTTATCCAATTGGAAATCAAGTTTGTCATTAATACTCCCTTTCTCCCTAGGCATATGAATGCGTCCTTCTCTAAAAGTTAAACACACCTTCACTTGTTCCTTGTTTACTACTGTTCAAGAGAGAGCATGCCTAGAACAGCCATACAGACCTCCACAACATCCACCATCTTTTCCACTCCTCTCCTGTCATTCTGGACAGTGTTGTAGGACGTGTACACACGAGGCTGCTTCATATGCTCTGGCTGAGAAGAGGTCCCATGCAAAATCAGTTTCCAGTTCACGATCCTCCCTTCATTTTGTATTCTTCCAGACTGGACAAAAAAGTATACAGGTTTTAGCTTGTGTTCCGAATATAAAACAAATTCATTTAGGTTGTCAAAAAAAGAATTTCAGAGTTAAAATCTAATTTTAAGAGGTTGTACATCCATGTCCAAAACTCATTTGAAAGTGGATTCCTTCTAGTAAAAAATGACATTTTGTTTAAAATGTATTTGTCAAATCTGTAATCATTATGCCAAAAAATCTGAATTACTGTAACATTCTGTATATTGTTAAAACTGTAACTTTAATTGTAAAAAAAAATTTTAAAAAATTGCTCTGGGGAAAGAAGCATTGTAATTTGAAATTTTTCCCTTTTTTTCTTGTGTAAAATAAAAGGTATCAAATTTGAAAAAAAATGAATTGCTTCATAATCAGGTATCTAGTTAAGAAAGAAGAACTCTGACAGAAATCTAATCCATCACATTGATTATGTTCTTGAAAAGTTGACTATCTCTGAAATATCTAAAAATTAAAAATCTAAGAGTGTAGAGAGAAACTTTAAGGACTTCATATGAAATAGAGCCATTGGGTAAATATGTTCTCTGAGTTTCCTGCTAATGAAATTGAGCTAAAGAATAAGACCACCAAGTAAAAACACTTTTTTTCTCCCTATTAGAACAGAACTTGTTGACAGCCTATATTTCTAAACTACCACTTTAGCATTTTTTTAGGTTTATTTATTTATTTGTAGATGTGTGTGAGCATGCATGATGTACAAAGGTGCAAGTGTGGAGATCAGAGACAACTTGTGGGAGTACGAGGAATCAAACTCAGGTTCTTAAGCTTCCTTACGGTGTCATCTTACTGGCTTTACTTTAGCAATTGTTAGATGTTATGCTCAGAGAAAAAAGGTAGCAACTGTATAATTTGCATTAATTTAATTGACATCTTTAGAAAATTAAGGTAATTTCTTTTTTAAAAGTTATCTAGTCAATGACATCTATACTGCTGACCTTTACACTTTTCTCTCAAAATACAGAGCAGGAACACAATTCATTTGCATTCTTACCCTCTGAGAATGTCAGGGAAATAATGCAAACATAATTGGGCTGTATTTGGGTTCATGTTAGACACAGCCCTGCCACCTCATTCCTGCAAGGTAGTATTTTAAAGGTTGTAAAAGAGTGTTAGCACTGTTTGCAGAGCCATTGGGACTCAGAAGTGTTTCTGATTTCCAAATATTTCAGGTTTAGGAGTACTTTATACAGGCTTTATCAATTAAACACTCTCTAATTCCCCAAACCTAAAGTCTGGAATGGGTCAAATCTAAAGTTTTTTGAGTATCGTGTGAGCTCTAAAAAGCAAAAGTGATTACCCCTGCCTCCCCCCCAACCAAAGGAAAACAAAACAAAAAAACTGCTCTAGGGGATTTTTGTCACTAAAAGTAGAAAAAATCCCGATAATATTAAATAAGATAACGTATTTAATATGAAACAAGAAGCTACATCTAAGTAAGAACAGAACAGTTCTAAGACTGGCTTCATAGAACTCCAGCAGAATATCACAACAAAGCTGGTATGAGCACATGCCCGCCTTTGTGACTACAGCTGATTCTAGAGGCTGCAAGTCATGTAGCTGTCTGCACTTAGACACAGGAACTCCTTGTCAGCATACTTTTCCTCCTCCCTTATAGTATGGCTGGTGTTTAATAGTCTCTTAAAATTCTTATCTGTATAACCAAGTGGGCAGGGCTGGAAACACTATACTTTCTCTTCTACTAAGGAGTGGTCAGGTCAAGTTCATTAAAAACCCTTATTAATGATGTCATCAACCTTTAAAAAGACTTCAAAGTGTCTTAAAATGAGCTTGGGTTTCCTTGTCTTCTCATTCATGCTTACCATGTCTGTGATTCTCAAAGTCCAGGTGCCAATAGGATTCTCTCCCCATGTGTGAACAGACATGAAGTCCCAGTTCTTAAAGCCATTAGGGGATGTATCTCGCTCCCTTTCAGCCAACAGTACGGTGCTGGTTCCTATTTTCATGCAACAAATAGAAGTTAGTGGTCCTAATCTAACAGTTCTGACAACAGGATTCTCTCTAGAAACTAATAAGTAGGAATGAAGGGTGAAGAGATTAGTCCTTTGAATGTTCTCTTCTAGCTTAAGACCAGGGTAGGCACATATACAGAACAAAACTGATATTTCATTCATAATATTTACCACATTGCCTTGCATATAATAATTTTTAATAAATATTGTTTTATTTATTTATTAATAAATGGAAGATGAATATGTTAAGGTTTAATTGACTAAGGAGAACTGAGAACTATATTTACAAATTATGTTGGTGAGGGGAGTCAAAGTCATAAAATATATTTTAGTAGAACTCTAATTTTGAAATATAAAAGAAAATACTGAATTTAATAGATGTTTGAATCTATAATCTACTGTAAACATAAAAACCAATTGAATTGAACTACTTAATTATTTATTATCATTAACAGTTTAATTAAAAAATTTAATAACTTAGTAATCTCTTACATAAAATCTAGTAATAGAAGAAGCAACTTTAAAATTTCAAGTCCAAGCCCTCTATAGATCAATAAATAATGTTGGATTATGTATAAAAGGATAAAGTGAACTATAGGTCTACCTGTGGGGAAGAGGTACTCTCACTTGTATATCAGACAAATTCCGAGGCATCTAGGACCCATACCTTAAAAGTTAATAGACCCTAAAAAGCTCTAGGAATTTGTATGCTAGGAGATCATAGAGGTAGCTCATCTTTCTTTACCATCTGTAGAAATTATTTGCTATTATTCTATTAGCAAATCTTAGAATATTTAGTAGAAAATTTGTATGTTATATTTTTATTTATTTGTTGTATGTGGGCACACACTATAGCACACATGTGGAGGTCAGAGGACAACTTTCGGGAGTCAGTTCTCTCCTTACAGCATGTGGGTCCAGGGACTGACCTCAGATCATTGGGATTGGCAACAGGTACCTTTACTCACTGAGCCATATCACGGGGCCATCAAAATATGTAAATATACTGGGACAATTCCTGGTTGAACTATGATTTATGATTCAGCATACCTTAGCTTATCTTAGCTAGGACTCGCTTAGAAAAAGGGTAAGTCTCTACATTGGTTCCTATGGCCTTAATCATATCACTGTGAAGATTTCGCTACTATTCTCAAATCTATGGGTCACAATTCTTAGGTTTTCAACTGGTTCTTTCAATGTTCCAGGCATATCGTTAAGTCTGATAGTTATCAGAATAACTTCCACTAACCTGTTGACTAAGAGAATGGTAGGTTATTAACCTGGGAAAGTGAACATAGTTCGAAAACACATGACTTCAGAAAAGTTATTCGTTAATATTACTTGAACAGTTCACATTCTTTGCCTATCTGAGGACCAGGGGAAATAAGCAGGGAAGAAGAAATCTAAGATCAGGAAAAAAAATCATGTTTTAAAGACTTGTAATACCTACTGGGAGACTTAGTTCTATGAATAAACAGAAACAATCATTGATGTTTTGTGGTTGTTATTTAAGTTTACCAGCAGCTGAAGTGAGTGTGACGTGAAGGTCTCCTCTACGGGAATATTCAATGGTTGCTTCAAATTGCACATGCTCCAGGGACTTGATAGCATTTTCTTGTCCTTCACAAGCTCTTGTTGGAATTTCAATGATAACTTCTCCATTAGCTTTCAGGGCTCTAAATACATTAGAGAATCAGCATTGAATAAAATGTATCTCTTCCTTCACCCATTTTATGCACAAGGGTATATGGTCTTGACTAGATACCCAGTTAAGCTTATTGTCACCCTCTGTTATGAGTATAATTCATTTCAGGGTTAGCAGAAGATGGATTTACTGTGTAAGAAAATGATAAGGAACATAAATATGACACTTCTTGCTATAGAATGAAATTTAGGCTTATTTGTCTTGAATGCATCAAAAGCGGTTTATTACTAGGTTAAAAAATCTTCAAGAAAAAAATAGTTCATGTAGAAGACCTTCCTAAGACACATTCCCAGGCCTCCCTGGCTCTGGAATTTTGTGTATCAGTATGGGTGCCTTGATGGAAACAACACAGCAGTCATAGCAGATTCTGCCTCACTGGGCAGATATGGTGAGCCACAGGTGGTCTGTGTAGAGCTGTCAGAGAAAGAGCCCTACTTGAAAGAAAATACATGCATGACATCACTTTGTAGCACAAGGTAAGACTTTTGGGAAGCACTTTTTGGCAAGGATTGAATTTCATCAATACTTTTAATAAATAAATATTTTCTTTATTCTTTTATATTTTATTTATTTTATTTTTAACATGGATGAGTGCATTGCCTGCATGTGTGTAAGTGCATCCGTGCTGTGCAATGCTCATGGAAGTCAGAAGAAAGCGTTGGATCCCCTGGAACTGGAGTTACAGACAGTTGTTAACTGCCATGTGGGTGATGGGAATCAAACCTGGGTCCTCTGCAAGAGCAGTCAATGCTCTTAATCACTGAGCCATCTCTCTAGCCCCAGAATTTCATCAATACATTTATAAAATGAATTTGATCATTGGTTGGTCATCATTGACAATGTTTTGTCTTAGTGGTAAATAAAACAATGATACATCTTAGACTTTATGTGGTGTAGTAAGTAATCTGCAAGGAAAAAAATGCAAATATGCTAGCGTGACTAATAAACCTTTGGCTTCTCCATGATTTCCTATGGAGAGAACTGCATAGTAACTCCATCTCGGTCTATTTCAGAAGAGAAAATATGAGGAAAAAAATAGGTAGAATGGCAAACACCTTAAGCAAACTGTGCTTTGGGCACATACATGTTTGTTTACAATTCTTCGAGACACTTACCTGGGCTCAAAGTCATTGTCTTTTACAACACATTCTCTCTTCTCGGGTACACTGCTCCAGGTTCCAGGGTCAGCTAAATCCACCAGAGCTTTAGCATTTAGCAAGCCAAATCCAAATCGACTGTTCACCATCAAGCCTGCTCCATTCTTCTTCCACCCAGGGTTACTGGCCAATGGGTCATACTCAGAGGTCCAGACCACCAAGTGCTGCATATCTCGCCATGTGAGATTTGGGCTGGAGGGAAAGTGACAAAATGAAGCAGCCTTGGAAAACCAAGTGCTAAAACTAAGCATCTCCATTCTGGGATTACTAAGCGCCCTTTGTAATTCTATCATTCTGTTGTCTAATGCTGTGTTTATTTAGAATTTAAAATACAATACTGGAAATTCTCACCTACAGCATGTAAGTTAAACTATTACTACCAATAACATTCAATCCTCAGCACTGTAGAGGTGTGAAGTTTCGATCCTCATATGTAATTATGTACATTTATCTGGAGCAAAAAATTTCATGACAAAACTTCCTTTGTTGTCATGTAAAACTTTGTTTGTGTCTTGCAGTCTTATCCTGTGTATGACATGCCTTACCATTTTCAGAATTATGAACCTCAGATGAAGCCTTGATTTTTGTTATAGGAAGAATCAGATATTAAACATGGGATAGCAATCTACCCAAACACATTTTGTATGTTTTCTGTATGTGGTCAGTCCTCTATACCCATGAGTTCCACATTCTTAGGATTTAGCCAACCTTGAATCAAAAATATTTGAAATGAAAAACATTGCATCTATGCTAACGTGCACATACTTTTTCTCTTGTCACATTCCCTGAAAGTACAATATAACATAGTATTTACATTGTATTAGGCATTATAAGTAATTTGTAAATTGCTTAAAATAAATGAGATGTATATAGGTTTTTTATAATTACTACACCATTTAATGTAAGAGTTTTGAGCATCCATAGAGCTTTGTATATGCAGGAAGTCCTAGACATGATCCTTGGCAGATATTGAGGGGTGACAATATATCAAAATGATCAAGAAAGGGCTTCATGAGATTGCTTTCACAAGGCATTATACTGAATATTATTAGAGTATTCAAGGAGGTGGTTCTGGTCCTTAAAAAACTTACAATGCAGTGAAAACTCTTTTTTAAAACTAGGTCTGCTGAATGTTGTAGCTATAACCTAATGTATCATGAGAACTTGGAGAAAGAATGCCCATGGGGTATAAAGAATTTGCTGGAAGGAAATCTATTGGATGAACTTTGAAGGGCTGGTAGGAATACTAAAAGGGAGTGTATAGTAACTAGAGTAGAAGCAAAAAGGCAGGTAAGGACAGATGTGGCCAGACTGCAGCCTGGTCTGTTAGGGAGGGAAAAGACAGGGCAGAGTACTGAGCCAAAGGACTGACGATGATGCTGAATGTCACAAAGCGAGTTTGCCCTTTATCCTTTGGGCAGTGGGAATCATTGTAGACTACTGAGCAACAAAATGGTAAAATCAGAAGTTTAAATACGGTTAATTTGTCAACAACATGCATAACTTGTAGATTAAAAGGATTAAGTATTATTTATATGATATATAGGATTAAGTATTACACATGTAATATATAATATTCATATGTATCATTTTATTAAAGTATAATGGGACCCTATCACTATTAGAGTGTTGATCACCCTATTGAGGATTTTATTTTATTTTATGTGTATTCATGTATTGCCTGCACGTAGTTAAGTGTACCTGTGTTGTGCAATGCCTATGGAAGACAGAAGAGGCCATTGGATCCCCTAGAACTGGAGTTAAGGACAGTTGTTAGCTGCCATGTGGGTGTTGGGATTCAAATCCAGATCTTCTGCAAAAACAGCCAGTGCTCTTAACCACTGAGCAATCTCGCCAGCCCTCTATTGAGGGTTTTAATTCTCCCCACATGCTCCCAGAGCTCACATCTTGCTACAGCTTTTCTTTTTCCATCACATTTATCACTTTATTATATACCGGACAACCCATTTGGTTTGTGTCTTATTGTCTGTCTCCCTAGCTAGCCAGCCATAAGGAGGAGTGAGAACTTATCTTCTTCCCTGATGCAAACACACAGAAGAATGCTAGGCAGACGATTATATGTGAGTGACCAGCAAGATTGTTCAGAGTGTAGGGTTCCTGCTGCCAAACCTGTTGACCTGAGTTCTATCCCCAGGACCCACATGATGGAAGGAGAAAACTGACTCCCACACGTTATCCTTTGACCTTCACATGTCTGTCTACCACTGTATATGCATGCCCACACATACATACACACATAAAATAATGTAATTTGAAATATTTAAGAAAAAGTATATGTGAGTAAATAAATGTTGCTTGGTTGACTAATTGAAGATGTCTATCTATATTAAATAGCCTGATAGAATTTCAAAGCTTATTGCTATTATAAGTCATTAGATTGCTCCAAGACCTTAAGCTTTTTCTTGCCTTTGAGACCTGAATTTACTTCCCTCAAGTCAAATCAAGCATTAATTAAGAAATAATGCTCATTCTTCAAGATGCCAATCTTACCATGAGGCTGCAGAGTAATCACTAGGGAAATATAGCTCAATTTGCTGCCTTTTCCCCAGAGTCAAGCATGTATTGGTTAAACAAGTCGCTGAGTACAAGAAAGGCAGTATACATTCCTGAACATTGGGGAGTTTGGTTCATGGTTAAAGACCCCTGTGTGATCTTCCAGATCCAACCATAGGCAATTACAAAGGTTTTTGTTGACAGGCCTACAAGGAAAGCCACCCACCACTGAACTAGCCCTGGTGCACAGTCAATGTACTGTTGTCCCTGAAGTTTGCAGCAGCCAAGGCTTCAGCCCCCTGGCTCATCCTGCACTTTCCATATGTACATCCCTAACCTCTGTGGGAGAGTGCCTCTATTACTAAGTTTCTCTGTTAGAAGCTTTGTGCAGAGGTATTCTTCAGTTAGTTCTGTCCAGGTTTCCTTATGGACAGAAGGGGGTGAAAACCTTGAAGGTACTTTTCCACTTCCAGCCGCCATCAAACTGCCTGCACATCTATACTGCTGGGCACATAAAACTGTTGGGGCCTTTTTCCAGGCTTCCTTGGGCCCTATATCTGTGCTGGCCCACTTGACTTGTGTTGTACCATGGGAGAAATTGCAACTGGGCTAATGCATAGTCCAGTGAGTGCTTAAAGGCTTGACTTTTTGCCTTTGACTTGCTACTTTAATGGGCTGCTTCAACACCTGACATCTCCATGCTTACTCATCTGAGCTAAGCTCCTATCAGACATACCTTTTAAGCCTGAGAGTGATGATGGCTTGAGAATTAGTCCAGTCTGGTGATTCACAGTGGGTCTCAGACCACATCTATCATAATCACCTACTACACTTGTAAACGATGAAGATTCCTAAGCCCTACCTACCCCTACAGATGAAAATTACCAGAGGTAGGGCAAGATCTTTTTATCTGTATTTGATAAAATGTCTAACTATCTGGTTTTGTATTACACTGAAAAGAACAGGAACTGGTAAAAAGATTACAAACACATGGTCAGTTAAGACAATTATAAGGCACTTCAAATCATCGTGTCAAATTAGGGAACAATAGAAAACACATTAAACTGGTCTGGAGAGAGGTTTGGCAGTTACAAGCACTGAATGCTCTTGAAAAGGACTGAGGCTCAGTTCCCAGCACCCACATGGGGGCTAACAACCATCTATAACTCCAGTTCCAGGGGATCTGACACCATCTTCTGGCTTCCATGGGCATTGCACTTACATACATGTAGGCGAAGCACTCATACACTTAAAGTAAGAGTAAATAAATTAACTTAAACCAAAACACACTAAGCTATTATATGCCAAAGAACTGTCAGAGTCTTGCTCTGCATATCTCTCCTTGCCTGAGCTGGCTTGTTTATTACTATGAGAAGACTGGATATGACCATCTCCAGAATGCCTTACTACTCAAATCTTCTACTGCTTAACATGAATGCCTCTTGTTTCTTTTTGGCTCTTGTTTCTTTTTGGGTCAGCACGCTTTCAGGAATCATTAGCTAGTTGAACAGTATGGCTATTTGTTCCTTTCCTCAGGGTACAAATTAGTTTTGTCCGTAAAGCATATTGTTGAAATGCTTGTTTCATTCCAGTCTTTTAAAAGGAGTTTAAATAAAAGCCTCTTATCAAGGTGGTAACAAAGAATCTTCTCATTTAGCTCATCTGACTGTACAGGTATGTGAAAGGGGGATGAGGATGGTCCTAAGGTGGTCATATGGAAGGATGCTGATGATCAGGTAATCACACACAAACACCCATTTCTCACATTTCTATAGCAGAACAATTTAAAATATTTTCTTTCAGTGCTTACTATGTTTTCATATTTTTAATCTAATCTTTGGGAAAAAATTGAGGGACTTCATTGTTAAGCAATTAGGAAAACAAACTTCTTTCCCTAACAATTATTCCTCATTTGTGAGCTCGAATTTTATAAATGAAAAGGAACTGCTAATAATATTGCAATTCATTCCTGACAGTCTTCCTTTGTTAATAAGTGAGCAGCAGCATCTGTAATAATTAAAATTTTAAGACTGCATTGTATTGCTAATCAGAGATATGCTTATAGAAAATAAGGGTTATGGAATTAAATGTCAAAATTAAGCATTGCTTCTAATTAGAAAAGATGCAGATAAAGAAATCTGGAAACGGGTCAGGAGTGATGGCTTAGTGGTTAAGAGCACCGGCTGCTCTTGCAGAAGACCAGGGTTGAAACCCCAGTACCCACTTGGCAGCCTACAACTGTCTTTAACTCCAGTTCCAGGGAATCTGACACCTTTTTTTGTAGTCCGTGGGCACTGCATGACATAGGTGCACTTACATACATGCAAGCAATACACTTGTACACATAAAATAAAAATAAAAAAAAAGAAATCTGAAGGCAAAGTTCTAGACTGAAGATTCCTAGGATCTACTTGGTTCTGTCTCTAACTACTAAACCACTTGAGTTCAGAGATCAAAGATTTTCTTTTTTCTTTTTTTTTTTTTTGTTAATTAGAACAAATGGGTAGCTTTCGCTAGGGAGTGCAGTCTGTTTATTGGATACAGAAGATACATTTACAGAGTACACAAAATAAATAATAACTGCACATTCTCCATCCATAGTCCATGACATGAAGGTCCAGTGGACCTATCAAAAGCCCACGATGATACCCTCTGTCCTGTCCTCAAGATCATGCCTA